CTTAATTAGGTGCTCAAAAGGTGCAGGTATGGCTAGTATGTACTCTCTAATGTATGGGGTTGGGATGAGCCCCTTACTCGGTAATTACCTGAATAAAAACCTTAGTCCCAAAGAGGCTAGTTAAAGAGAAAAAAAAAAAAATAAAAAATAAGAAAAGAATTTTTTTAAATTTAATAATATTATTTTCTTTATACTAGTTTCAGAGCATATCTTTATGTCTATGCTATAGTTATTATAAAACTATCAATTATATCTATACTATTAAATATTACTACTTGACTTTACTATAAATTCCTGAAAATAAGCTACTCCGAAAATAAGCTACCTCCTTTTTTGAAAGAAAAACGTAAAAACCTCTTTTATCTAAAAATAAGCTACTATATGATCATCAGTAGTTATCCTATAGTAAAGTCAAAATTTTATTAAGTAAATCAACTTTGCTTATTAAGTAAAGTTATTCAGGAGATCAAATACATATATTTTGAAAGTTTTATTCAAATTTCATGACCTTTTATTAATACATTTTTACATATTACGTTTAACAAATTTTTTAAAATTTCTTTAAAATTCATATCTGTTGAACATAAAATCAAAAGTCAATTAATAAAAGTTATCTGATTTACTTGAATGTATATTTTGATCTCCTAAATAACTTTTATTTAATAAGCCATATCAATTTATATAGTAAAAGTTTTTGCAATCAGGCAAAATTTACTTTTTCCCAAAAATAAGCTACCTTCGATTTTTTGAGTTTAAAATCATCCAAAAAAAGGTAGCTTATTTTTAGGAATCTACGGTACTAGCTTATGTGTCATTTAAATTATGTGATATTATTAAAATTATATTTCAATAGGTACTTTCTGAGTGTACTATATATACATATGTATGAATATATCTGGTATTGGTATATATATACGTACATGTATACACTATGTATATACATATATACTTATAGCAGTATTGTCACAAGACAGTTGTGAACAGTGAATTTGGATACTTTGAACAATTTTGGACAATTAAATAAATTAAAATTACTCAAAATTTTATTAAGATAATCTATATTACTTTCTAAGTAAAATATGTTCAGCATCTAAAAAAATATATAGTTATATATATTTTAGACAAATTTATTAATTATTAAAGCTTAAGTATACTTTGGACACTTTTGGACACTTGGACATTTAGACATTGGACAGTACTAAAAAAGCCTTTGGACAGTCAAAATGTACATTTCTGCTTATAGTATTGCCAATATCTCTACCAAAAGTTGCAATAACATGATGATGATAATTTTTTAATATTTAAATTATGGTTAGGTATCAGTAAAATCGCTCAAGAAAAGGTTTTTGATTGTGCATTACAATTTTTTGACAAACTGAACATTTGTTTGATTATTTTACGTTGCACCTAATTTTGAAAATTGATTAGTTAGCGCTACAAAAAAAGTCATATAACTGCAACTTTTTTATGCTGATAATGCTATGCTATAATGATATTATTGTATTAAATTAAAAGTTATTATATTTATTAGAAAAATTTAGCTAATAGATATCTGAAAAATTTTAGTTTAAATTCTATATCTATTTAAACTATCTTTTTTTATTACCTATTTTATTTTTTAATCTAAACTTTTAATTTTTTTTTAAATTTATTTTTTTTTAATTTATTTAATATATTTTTTTTACTTATTTTAATCATTATTAATTGGAGTTTTTTTATTTTTATTTTACTTATTTTAAGCATTAATAATTTGAATTTTTTATTTTTTTTGTGACTATTACTTAAAAAGAGTCAACTAAATTTTCGGAGGAGTGTAGATACGTTTTAGTTGTTGTGAGTTAATTTGTAATAAAATTAGCTGATGATTATCGAATTTAAGATAAGTATATTAGAAATTTAACTGATGTTAATGATTAACTTGCAATTTTACTTATTTTTACTTATTCACTTTAAGATTAGAGTTGTTTTATACATATCATTTAACTCATGCATATTATGAAGGCTTAATGTTAATTATGAAAATCAAATTTTATTAAGATAAATGAAACTAATTATTAAGAATAAAGAAATTTAAATACGAACTATCACTAAAAAGATTCTATTTATTTAGGTATTTTATCATAATATATGTGATACTAAATCTATATATCATAGTTTTAAGGCTTCTCTAAACACTACATTCCGTGTATAAACACCATTTTGTCTATAAATTTTTTCATTTACAATTAAAGCTTTTAAATTATGAAGTTCACGAACTCTCGACATAGCTACATATAATTAACTATGAGAAAAAACTGGTTAAGAAAGATAAAGCCCAATATGAGGTATTGTTTGGCCTTGGGATTTGTTGATTGTTAACGCAAAAGCTAAATATATAGAAAATTGTTTTCTCTCAAAAATAAAAGGCAATTCAGATTTCTCAGTAGGTAAGAGAGGAAGTCTAGAGATAAACATACATTTATCTCAATGATTTTTTGTCACAATCTTAGCATTTATTGTATTTGCTTGCAAGCATCAACAAATAAGTCTTATCCCATTACAAAGTCTATTGTCTAGGTCAAGGTTTTTAAGTAACATAATGGAAATGCCAATCTTTAGAGTAAGTTTATGTGGAGGAAGACCTTGTGATGTTAATGAATTAAGATATTCAATTGGGTAGAGGTTTAAATTATCATCAGGTACAGTATTGAAACTATAGTAAGTTCATTGATCACTGAGAAAAGTCTCTATAAATTGCTTATTTATTTCATTAACATCACAATTTAACGGTATCAATATTGTTTTTTCTGTAATAAATTTGGTATTAGTAGCATTTTCAGCTAAATTGGAGTAGATCATATCTAACAGAGTAGTAATATAGTCTTCACGATTTTGCGAGCCAATAATTATCTCATTAGAAAGCCTAATTAGATTATATTATTTCCGATCATAGGTTCAGTACTGTTACCTATCCTGAGTAAATAATCTGAGAATATTATAGCTTGTTTGCTTGTAGCTTGTGCAACTCACATATTAGCAGTTAATATAAACTTTCGAATATGTTTCCATAGGATGTGATTTATTAAGAGCAGCGTTAACTATCTGAGCTCTGAAACCTTTACATATTACAAGCAAAACCTGTTGAAAATCTCCATCAAATAATACTATTTTGCCACCAAATAGAAGATAATTTTTTATTATATCTCTCAATAGTCTCAGATGCGTAACAATTTGTCATTAGAACCTCATTCCAAATGATAAGTACAGTTTTTTGAAGTAGTTTACACAAATCAGATTCTTTATCAATATTGCAAGTTGTATTATCATCTATTCCAGCAATTGGTATTTTAAAGTGAGAGTATGCAGTGCAACTACTACGCAAAATTAATGCTGTAATACCGGAAGATGCTACAGCTAATGCGATTTGTTGATTGACTTAAATATGACTTAAAAGACATTTATAGAGATAGGTTTTACTGGTTCTAGTAGGACCATCTATGAATAAAATACTTTCTTTACCTTTGTGTATAAGATTTATTACTTCATTAAATATTTTATGCTAATCATCATTTAACAAATTTATTTTATTTAGTTCTTCAGAAGTGATTTGATAATTTAATTCTTCCAATTGCATCCTTAACATATCATCAATATTAAATTCTAGTAATAATTCTAGTAAGTCAAAATTACTAACATTTTTTGAGTAATATTGCAACACTGTATTTAGGCTTTGAAGAACAGTCTGAACTTTCATTTGCTTATTTGGAACTCCCTTGTATGTAAAATCTTCAGCTATTGCTTCAAAATTTTCATTCTAGAGTTGAGATATATTGACAATATTGCCGAATATTAATAATATAGCACAAAGATTGTGTAATTCGCTAGGCATCTGAAATTTCCTAGCTTCAGCCATGCATTGTCGATGTTCACTATCGTCTTCAAGAAAGCCTCTATATAGTACACTTTCTTTGAAGGTTAAACAAAAAATGCCGTTTACTATTTTAAGGTTATCAAAACTTTTAGCCCCTTTTACTTTTGTTAGCAAAAGACATAGATAATATCTTTCACCTAAGTAATGTTTACATATTGTATTAGTTAAATAATATGATTTTAACTTTTATTTGCTAATAACAAATAATATATTTACCTTTCCTAGAATGAGCCATGTATATCCTTCTAATACAATTGCTACATTTATATTTTGTCCATACTTTAGTTGATTTGTTCTATGTGTAATACAAAGGAAAATCAGTATAGAATATATCTTTTACTTCAGGGTCTTGATCATTCATCTTAAAGAACTCAGTAAGGGTCGTTCATTTATTTTGTTTTGATTCAAATACTTCCACCAGAATATTGTTATCATCAAAATACAGTTGTTGTTGATTGGATAAATGCACTTATAAAAATGTTATAGCTGAATTCATTCCATTTATTTTGAATCCTAGAATTCTCCAAGCTGCTTCAGATGCAGAAACCTAATGTGCTTCAACAAAATTCTGAATTTTATCAACATTAACTAGTCACTCTCAAGTTTCTAAATTTGATCTTCAGTTACATCTATAAGTGTTTTATCATACTCTTTGTATATATATTTGAATAAATATTTAACTGCTTTAATGCTGGCACAAATTTTCATATTTATATGCCAGTTATACTTGGCTTAC